TATAAAAATACAAATTTCACTATAAAATATTATTATTAATTTACCATGAAAATGATCCGCGCCTTCTTTTCTTTTCTTAGAATTAATAATCAACAAATTTGTAATACACTTGTGTCTTCACACTAAGAAACTAACTGAGTTATATAGTCACATAAAACTAAAATAATCAAAGCACAAAATCGTGGTCTACCATCAAAACAAACATCAATGTGCTGTGTAAAACCCTAATGATAAATCAATAACGAATTTTACATACAAATATACAGATCTATATATATTGTTATGAAAAAATATAGATAAAACAAAAAAAATACGATTAGGGTCTGTGATGTACAGATCTATGCATATATATACAGATCTGTGTATATATATACATATATCTATACAAATAATGGGGTTACAATTACCTTCTTCGTCTTTGTCAGTTGATCTATGACCCTTCTTTGTCTTCGTCGATCTGTGAATGGATGAGAGAGAGAGTTGCTGAGAGAGCTCCAGAGAAGAAAGACGTATAGGAGAGAGAGTCGTTGCTCTTACCTTCACAGAAAAGAGAGAAAGTGGTTGCGAAGGGGGTGATTTGTGAGGACAAAAATGAAAAAAAGACCCTATATTTATAATCTTTCATATGAAGTAGGATTTTGTGGCTAACAAGACTTGAATGTGAGACCTCATTTGAACAAAAAACGTGTCTCATGTTTCACGTTTCCTAGAACAAAAATTTTTTGTTCTTATTTTTTTATTTTTTTCTTCAAAATAACTAATATAAAACAAAAATAAAAATAGTACCCAAACATATTTTTTGTTTTCATTTTTGATAAAAATTGAAAATAAAAACATAAAACACAAGACAAAAACAGTTACCAAACAACTCCTAATTTTTTTATTCATGAAGGAAAAACATATTATTTCTCTGTCTTTTCTCTAGTACAATAAATGAAAAGTTGGAAATTTTAATTTTTTTATTTGGACTCAGAGTAAAAATAAAAGAAAATAAAATAAATATGAATTCATTTTACGATTTTACCCTTAAATATAACAAGTATTTTTTTTATTACAAATAAATTTTTCAAAAAATTTTCTCTTTGGTAAGAGGAAAAAAAAAAGAATTAAAGTGGGGCTGAAAAAACATAATATTTGAGAAAGTTTAATAAAAAATTATTATTAAAGTAATTTATTAAGCAACTCCAATTAATACCTACCCATTTTCACGTTGCTAACATCAGCAAGAACAATCTCAAATAAGTGGAGATGTGTCACCAATTGAAAAAAAAAATGTGGAAATGTATCTAGAATGCTCAGCAAACCTTTTAAAGGCATTGATGCAAGAAGCGTAAATTAGTAAGTTAATTTATTCAACCAAAAGACTGCCTTTCTCTCTAATTTTCCGCCCAAAACTGAACGGATGAGAAATGGCGGTGGAATTCATTTTCCACCGTCTTTTCCTTTCCACTGCCTTCTCCTTTAGAACTAAACCGGGGAAATACTTTCTTCTTCCCCAACTTTTCATCCTTCTTTTTCCATCCACCCATCTTTCCTTTATACCAAACAGACCATAAGACTTCATTAGTTCATGGACTTTATTATGAGGCAGACAATTTTAACCTGTCCAAGTGAACGAAATTGTCTGGTCTAAAACAGATTCAGTTAATCCAAATCAATTAATAGATTATGGGTTTTATGTCCGATTCATGTACCAACGAACCTTTAATCCAATAATATTTTTTATCTTGTGAGATTTTTGTCTTCTTAAAGTTAAGAGCTCAAGTCCCCTCCCCTCTCTCAAACAAAAAAAAAAAAATTATATCCGATTCGTGCTACTTTACCCATAACATTATTAGTTAAATGATATTAAAACACTGGATAAAACAGAATTTTCTATGCCCATTTTCAAGTTTATTTATCCTAAATTTGTAGCAGTGGCAAGACTTCAAATACTATAATTTTAATACACATTACACTTTCAAATATACAAATCCATCACTGCAGAATTTTGAGGGTAGATTGGANACCCCCCCCCCCCTCCCTCTCTCTCCTCTCCTCTCCTCTCCCTCTCTTTCTATTACCAGATGACTGGAATAAAAGGATTTGTCAAAAATACCCCTCATACTTGATCAGATCATAGAGAAACCAGGATAACTTATCATTAGAAATAACATGATCAATCCCACTCCTCCCCTCGCTCCTTCATCCTCCTAGGCTGAGGTTAATAACAACAATTCTCAAACCTGCATTTCCAAAATAAGCACATAGCCCAGTACCCCACATTCAGCTTAAATTTTGTGACCTCTCTTATACGCTGAATGACGAGATAGATCTAAAATATGTACCTCGGAATCGGTCAGTATATAAATAGTTCACACATCCCAGTAATCTATCATCAAATTGAATTGCCAAAAATATAGGCATGAGTTGCAAGAATGAAAAACATTGCTCCAATTTCTTTTACCCATTGGATCTTTAATGATATCATAATAGTCAGGGACGTCACGTGCATCAATTGGATCCTTGAATGGCCACGCATCAGGATGGTCATGCATTGCCTGCTTGAAAAGAAGGCTAACAATGAGGACAGGTAACCACATTTCAACATGAAAGTAGGTAACTAGGAAATGCATGCATGTATGTGTGTGAGAGAGAGAGAGAGGGCAAGTCTTATTTCATGGAGTATGATATCACATAAACAGATGAACTACCACTAATACCACGTCCTTAAGCAAACTTCATATCACAGAGCTAAACAAGCTGGCAAGGTAGGAAAAAGAACTAATTTGCAGAGTCATTTGCTACAATGGGACTAAGCTAAAGTAACCCACTATTGCATAAAACACTGTTAGAATATGATTACAAATTGAAGGATCATGGCAACATCCCTCAAGTATGTATGGTATTCAACATTTAACGTTATGGTGCTCTTGTACTTAAATTGCAAGAACAACCAAGCGTGATCTTTTTACAAACATTTTTTAAATTTTCTCACCATTTTCTTGAGAAAGACCATGCATCATTTATTAATCTTTGATATAGATTGCTTCAGCTAAAACTTAAAGCAAAGTTAAAGCAGGGGGAGAAAATCTTAAAATTCTTGCCTTTACTAGTGATCTCATGAATGCAGTCAGTGACTTTTGATTTGAGGTACTGTCTGCAGAAGTATTCACTGTTTTGAACCGAGAATGGCCATATTGATCAGAAGTCCACCCAGCCTCCCCTATTATCAGTTTCAACCATTTGAATTAGGATTCTAAAACTAAGTATTGAAGAAACAAACTCAAATTCCATCAAGATTACTATAGAGAAAACTGCACAATGCATGAAGCAAGAAAATTAGAGACTCAGATGACTTGTGACAGTGAAACTACACATAACATGAAGAAAGGCGGCACAACCAATAATGGTCTCAAGATGGTAAAGCTAGAGTTTTATTCTCCAACAAACAATTACAAGTATTATAAAATAGTGATCAAGGATGCTAGTCCTCCCTAATTCAGCAGGTGTACTTATGGAACTGGAAAGACATTCCACTTAATCACTCAATTTCAAAATATTTTAGCCACGTGCGAAGCATAAATCCATTCACTTCCCCATGCAGAGTAAAAAAAAGGTTAGACAGTTGAGTATATAGAAAAGATCCAGCAAATATTTTCTCACACACACACAGAGGAAACTTTTGCTTGATGAAGCTTGAAAAAGGCAAACAATGCTTGTAATTAGGAAATGGGATCACAAAAATAAAATGAACTCTGAACAAACAATATGGATTTTTGATCAATAGAACTTCAAGAAACGTAAATGAACAAAAAATGACAATGAAGGGACTGGAAGAACTTACTCAAACCAGGAATATCCTCAACTTTGATGGCTTTTTTAGGAATACCAGCTTCTTTCTGAACAAACGAGTTCTTCATAAGAACTAACTTCGGAAAATACATACATCTTGTATAAATTATGAACAACGATATCAATATTCAAACTCCGTAAATTATATACCATGTTTTCTATGATACTGTAAATATATCCGAGGCAGTTTCCCCCAATCAAAATAAAACAATTAGAGAATTACAGCAATCACTTGGGTGTAAAATAAATTGTGAAGGAATTGGCATTTGTATACTTCGCTNATATATCCGAGGCAGTTTCCCCCAATCAAAATAAAACAATTAGAGAATTACAGCAATGACTTGGGTGTAAAATAAATTGTGAAGGAATTGGCATTTGTATACTTCGCCAGCTATCAAGCCTAGAGGCCACAAACTCTCAGAAGTGAGATATTAGAAGAAGTAATCAAAACTTCAGAAGACAAATGAATTCATAAAACAACTAACAGAAATTTAAAAGTTTGAAGGAAAACATATGACACTTTAAACTCAAGATTGGATGACAAATATAGTCCCTAGCACCTCCACTATTTAATGTCATGGAGAGCACTCACATTGGTTGCCCAAAAGCTTCGCATCACTAACTGTCCCCACCTTGCCCAGGAAAATCACTGATGCACCCTCATTGATGCGGGACCCATGAGGGGATGATGTGACAATCAAGTTATCATCGTAGTTCATTTATGGAGTTATTAACATCTTCCCTGTAATAGTTCAATTTTGCATAGATTTTAGTGGTTTTAGGAATGAATATAAATTCTTAGGCTCTGTGGCTGTCGGCCGATCCAATTAAGAATAATTATTGAACTCTGAAAACAAGCTTCGTGCTCTGTGTGTGTGTGTTTCCTTCAGCCTTGCTTGTGAGAGAAGGCTGGAAAGTCTCAGATGAACCTTTCCTTACTTACTCCCCTCTCTATTCAAAAGTTTCGTTATATGATCACCTATGATAGGGACACAAAACAGGACTTGCAACTCATTGGCTGAAGACGATTCCGAACAAAGAAGAATTGCATAATAATTTATTTTGAGCAGCATTATCCTTTTCGCACACTCTTTCAAGAAAGTAAGAAGAATAACACAAGATTACACTTAACAACAAACAGGTCGAAGTTGTTCAAAAGCTCAGAAATGTGGAAAACCAATTTTATATAAAGAACTAACAAAATGGGTGATTCAATCCTGTTTTCTCTGCGAACATTTAGTGAGTGCCATGCCCCTTCACTTTATTTCCCATTCATCTTAGTAAATTCAACAATTTGCCGGAATAGAATTAATTTGGACATTGAACCAAGTCATATGTACAAAATGACTTCAATGAAAGGCCACAGGACATCCAGATAGTAAGTCAATAATGAATGCATATACCTTCTGAAAATCAATTCCAGGGTAGACAATGTGACAGTTCGAGAGCTCTCTTATCTTTTCATCAATTGCCTACCAACACCAATATAATTATAAGCTCATTGCAGATTGTAGTACATATTTGCCAACAAAAAATGATAAGTACAAATAGAATATAAAACTGAATTCATCTTCTTCAGCCAAAACCACTTTGCAGTTTGCACCTGGTACGGTAAACTGTTTCATAAGCAATTAAGCATGTATCCTGTCTGATATTTGACTTCTCTCATGACACTTCGTCAGTGTCATATGAACTTATCCATTTTTATTCTAATTTATGAGTATTAAAGCATTCTTCAAACAACATCACAATGAACAATAAAATTATTATCTTACCTGCCTCTGACGGCGAATCATGGGCGCTAAATCAGTGTATGGAAGCTTTGGATCTATTTTGCATTCCATAAGGATCCCTCCGTCATAATCCTTAATATACCTGAAACGCAAAGTAACCCTTTATAAAATTACTGTACAACACTAAATTTTGAATTAGCAAAGGAAAAAATTTAGAACAAGACAATACAAAAGCAGCACAATACAGCTAATTAAGGCATTTCTAAGTTTATATATACATACCCATGCCATCGTTCTTTCTCCAGAAAAATATCTTTGGTAAAGCCCTATAATTTCATATAAGGACCATGTTTATTTATGCTCAATGGACAAGCAAACTGGCCACTTACGTGAAATAGATACCATAAAAGAAGAGAACAACTCTCACCTGTTTGACAAAATAACCAACAGCGTTATTGTCAGCATAAGTAAGAAAGTGAGTAAGCCCGTCAACATCACGTGCATGCTGCTTCAAATGATTCATTAGTCGGGTGCCGTATCCTTTTACTTGTTCATCTGCTGTGATAGCGCAAAAAGCTATCTCACCAAACTTTTGGCTACATCATTTCCTGAACAGTGTCAGTGACAGACAAGGTATCGCAGTAGGATACAAAAAATTATATTCACGGGAGTTCAAGTGATTTCCTGATGGAATGGTGTCATCCAAAACAATCAGCAACTACATTCCAAAAATTCATTTTGCTCGTCAGAGCCCAAGTTCTCAATAAGTAAAAATTTTATAGTGTCGTCAAATAAGTAGAATTAATCGATAAACAAGCACAAAAGTTTGTACCATAGGAAGCTACAGAAACCAACAACCAATCATTTTTTTAGTTTTGATTTAACAGTATAAGGCAGTAAATAAATAAATGGAACTTCAAGCAATGAGTTAACTAGTTGAACACAAAAAATATAGGTTCAACAGCTTTGATAAGTAGGAAGAGATTAATACAAATGGCCATTTTATACGATTTTAATATGTTTATGTTAGTATAAAACAATGAAACTCAAATTAAACATTGAAGTATCGTATTTGTAAAGAAAATGTAGTAAAGGAAAAATAACTTCATTAGATACTTAATCCTCACAACTAAATAGAAAATAAAAGCATTGCATGGCATGTCTGACATGTATAGCAGTGTTACCTGACATAAGGGCGGTATGTTATGCCACCAACAACGTGATTGGGCCCGATAACCATCACAGATTTATGACTTCTGCAAAATGATATCCGTGAAAAGCATATGAGANCTGACATGTATAGCAGTGTTACCTGACATAAGGGCGGTATGTTATGCCACCAACAACATGATTGGGCCCGATAACCATCACAGATTTATGACTTCTGCAAAATGATATCCGTGAAAAGCATATGAGAGTATTTTCGTAGTAGCAAGCCCCTATAATGCATCCACCACTATGAAACCATATATGATATGTTATAAAATGCAGACACTTGAGAGTACAAATCATCAACTGGACCTGTGAAGGGTTATTTACCAAGATTCCCTTTTTTTCGTGTGATACTTTATTCGCCACAAGAGCAAAAGCACATAAAACTCAATTTAGTCCCCATTAATGGGAGTTCGAGAGGGGTAGACTGGGTATAAACCTAATCTTTGACATAATTTACACAAAAATGGATGCCTTCATGTTCAACCCACAACCTCAAGGTTATTAACCAAATTTTAACCATTGAACCAATGGCCCCCCAAGGTCGAGAGTATATCAAATTCTGACCACCTCAAAAGTAAGATGATGAACTTTTCTTTTGGTTCCATCCTTTTTCATAACCAACACAAAAGCCTACCCAAACTCATTTCATGAGATCAATTCCTCTCTTTCTTTGCTTCTTGATTTAAGCCACATCCATGATAGAGAGTTCCAGGCGTTGGGATTCCAACCATCAGTCTACAAAAACTAAACCCTATTTAAGGATTGGAGTGATCAAGTCAGCAGAATATAGGTAAGTCAAATGATTAACTGGATAAACAAAGTTGAACCTATTTTCTAATCATACATCCAGGAGGGTATTTGCAACAGATAAATTATATGACTCAAGTTATAATCAAATGGGCATAACCACCTATGGAGATCCTTTGGCAGCCATAGCTGAAATTATGAATAACAATGTTAAAGGACATAAAGAAAGAAAATGATTGCAACTTTGAGACAGAAAATTGGGTTAGATCAGCAGCAGTTGGCATTTCTATGACAAATTGCTGACCTTGAGCCTATCCATACTTGTTTACAAGAGCATCAACCCCGAGTTAGATAGTATTTCTGTATTCTTTTTTGTGTGTGTGTGTGTGTTGGTGGTGGGGGGGCTAACAAGGAGGTATATAGGCCTCTTAGAGCTTCTGACTGCCCCTCATCAACACATCCAATACCCAATCCCGTAGGATCATGATTTGAACCAAGGGATTCCTATTTTAAATCCTAGAAGGTTGCAATTTGGAATAATCCAGTTTTCTATATGTAAGGGGAAAAACCCTTAGTCTAACATGGTAATTCAAGGGTGGCTCATAATAAATTTGATTTTATTCACATTTGTGAGGCATTGGCACTATTTTCTCATCTGGAATAATCTAATGATTGGACTCATGAACCCCTATGCTCTTCTGTTAAAGCTACAATGTTCGAAAAACATAGTAATACCAGAGTACTTTTAACCATGAACTATACCTGTCCATCACAAGACGGACTATGTACTCTTTAGGCATGTTAGGTAGCTGCCTGGCAAATATATTCTTCAATCCTATCAACCTGAGGAAACCAAATTGAAGGAATTAATCGGAGTCCATGTATAAACTCTAATATATTTGCCAAATCTTAATAGACCTTTTTGCATTTCTTTTGTAGGAAAGAAAATTTGGCTGATAAAAAACACAATTCAATGTCATCTCTCAAAGAAAAGTAGATACAGTATTAATATTAAAGAGAAGAGAAATGGATACCAAAGCATATGCTCATCAATACCATCATTTGAAACGCAGGCAAACTTGAGTTTTCCTGCTTCCTCCTGTAAATTTCCAAAAACAGCTACTTTGACCAACATATTACTCATTGAAGACAATTACATAGGATTTCAAGGCAAATTTCTGACAGAGAAAATAAAAAGGTAGGTCACTTGCCACAAATCAAATTCAATATGCATAACACTAAAAGATTTGTTTTACATGTTAAGACTTTGGCCCACCATATAGGAGACAAGAGTAAACAATTTTATTTGCATCAAAGTACAAATAAGAACTGATAAAATGAAGCACACACACTCGTGCACAGTGCCACAGAGAAAAGTGACATTTAGCAGTACAAATCCAAATGCAGAATTGATTTACATTTCACCACTGCACAATCTGACAAAAATCTAGGAATTTTTGGTCTTGCAACGCCAAAAAAACATGCACTCACTAGTCACAGGAACCCTATTAAGGATACTATACTTCAGAACACAACATTTAGTATCCACAGACTTTGCATGACTATCCTGAATATTACAAATGATAATTACACTCTTCGTCAAATTCCACATTTTAAAAAATATTTTTGTAAGTAAAAGGATGCAGTTCATTAAACAAATATAGACAAAAGACCCAAACATCCAAGTTTTTTTTGGAACTGCAAGCATCCAAGTTGACATATTGACTTCAGATACTTATCAAATTCATACACCTACTTCTGTAATATAAACTTGTCTCCAGTCATTTGTAACATTTGTTGAGTGATTAGCCGAATTCCCCAATTATTGTATGTAATTATAATTCCCCGTAGTGTGGTATCCTAAGCGACTCCAAGACGCACCATACCCTAGATTAACAGAGACCAACAGGAGTACNGTTGACATATTGACTTCAGATACTTATCAAATTCATACACCTACTTCTGTAATATAACCTTGTCTCCAGTCATTTGTTGAGTGATTAGCCGAATTCCCCAATTATTGTATGTAATTATAATTCCCCATAGTGTGGTATCCTAAGCGACTCCAAGACGCACCATACCCTAGATTAACAGAGACCAACAGGAGTATTAATGGCCCTTTATATCCACAATGCTAAAATAAAACTCTGATAAATTCACCCAGTTGCTGATAGTCTACTCGCATATGCTCAGTGACACCACAAAGGAACTCAATGGTTTGTAAATTACAGTTTGATAAGTAATAAGTAATCACTAGTTTCAAAAGTTAGATGTTGGATAGTATGTATCATGTATGTGACAACAAGTAGCTACATCGCCTCAATTATCACTAAATAAACTACACAAAATGACCAAGGCGTTTCAACCGAGGGAAGCTCAGGGAGACTATCACTACAACTACTGCCAATTTTAGAATTGAAGCTCGGGGAGACTATCACTATAACTATAGCCAATAAAAAAATTAGTTGTNCTAGTTTCAAAAGTTAGATGTTGGATAGTATGTATCATGTATGTGACAACAAGTAGCCACATCGCCTCAATTATCACTAAATAAACTACACAAAATGACCAAGGCGTTTCAACCAAGGGAAGCTCAGGGAGACTATCACTACAACTACTGCCAATTTTAGTATTGAAGCTCGGGGAGACTATCACTATAACTATAGCCAATAAAAAAATTAGTTGTAAACTCAAAATATTTCAAAATAAGTCAATCTGCATGACAAATAAAAGAACAAATATATGTCAATGCAACTAAACTAAAGTGTTCAAGCAATACACATATAATCTATAGTTTTGACATTTCAAAAGATGTTGCAGAAATTCAGTGACTAAACTCAAACCTTCTCTCATTAAGAATGAGTGAAATTTCTTGAATCCCAAGGAAAGCCTATACACTAATCATATGACAGTCCACAAGGGCCAACTCCATATAAATCGAACTAGAAGATGAATCAAAGGTAGAATTTTCACATATATTTTCTCCAAGTATTCATTTCCATGCAGTTTTAATGCACGGCATCAGCAATATTCATTCATTAATAGAAGACATAGAACTAAATAAATAGTGAAACAATTTGGCTTACCTCTCGTTTTAAAGTTTCTTCCCTTGAACAATACGCCCCGCTAGTCTGTATATTCTCCGTAAAAATATTCTTGCATGTATCCTCCTTCACCACTATTCCTGAAACAGAATTACCGGTTGCCTGTGCCGATGTATTGCCTGAATTTGCTGTACCACCATCTTTCCCAACCTCCGCGTGCTCAATTTTCACAGAATTTTTTGTCTTCAGCTTCGTATTTCTTGATGTTGGCCCCACACTGTTCTCCAACCTCGATGCCGTGAATGTGCGCATTGACGAGTCATCGTACTCTTCCTCCTCCTCGTCGACTTCTTCCGACTCTTCGTCAGAGTCGGAATCGGCGCCCCGGGCGCTGATGCTCTCGAGGTCGTCATTGGATGTGAGTCCGTCGCGTGTGTCGGAAAACGAGGAGGGAAAGGGTGGCGCGTGGTTGTCAGACGCCAGCTTGCGCTTGTGGATGGATGAGGTTGCGGAGGCCGAGGCAGAGTGGGATGGGGACTGAGATTGTGAGCTTCGTGAACGGACTGGTGCTGTCAAGTGTGAAGAGTGAGTGTCCATTTGGTATGATTTCTAGGGTTTTGACGAAGAAACTGACAACTAGAGTACGTCCGATTTAAAAGAGGGAGGAAGAAGGGCCGTTATTCGGTTGATTTAGGGTTACAGAGAGTTCAAAAATTAGGGTTTAAGAATTAGGGCACGATCGGGGGATTGGGGGTTTATTCTGTTTGCCCATGTTTTGCAACAAAATAACGGAATTAGTAAGGTATTTCTCGGAAAGGACGATGTCGTTTGGAGAACTCAGTTGTCGTTTCATGCTAAATTTGGACTCAAAAACTGATAATTGAGGCAGCAAGCTATTTAGACTCAGTTCGAATGAAACTTAATCCGAGGNTAAGAATTAGGGCACGATCGGGGGATTGGGGGTTTATTCTGTTTGCCCATGTTTTGCCACAAAATAACGGAATTAGTAAGGTATTTCTCGGAAAGGACGATGTCGTGTGGAGAATTCAGTTGTCGTTTCATGCTAAATTTGGACTCAAAAACTGATAATTGAGGCAGCAAGCTATTTAGACTCAGTTGAAATGAAACTTAATCCGAGCTCAGTCTCATTCTAAACGAGATAAACTTAAACAATTTTTTAAACTTTCAATTTAAGCTCGTAAATCTCAACTCGTTTATATATAAAATAATCAAATTACACCATTCAAACATGTCTTGTGCTCTAAACAAATTGAACTTTAACAATTTTTCAGACTTGTTTAAAAATATAAATTCGACTAAATTATCAACACTAAAAAAACCCACAACAATTTCCACATACTATTAGTCCCCATTAATGGGAATTTGATTTTGATAAAAAAAAGNTTAAACTTTCAATTTAAGCTCGTAAATCTCAACTCGTTTATATATAAAATAATCAAACTACACCATTCAAGCATGTCTCATGCTCTAAACAAACTGAACTTTAACAATTTTTTAGATTTGTTTAAAAATACAAATTCGACTAAATAATCAACACTAAAAAAACCCACAATAATTTCCACATACTATTAGTCCCCATTAATGGGAATTTGATTTTGATAAAAAAAAAAGGAAATTTGAGAAAGAAAGATTGAATACAGACCTTGTTATTTGCACAAAATGATCATATATACTCGACCTCTGATCATGACTCCCTCAGTTTCAAGCTTCTAAAATGCTTGAGCTTTGCCTGCTAAGGTAGTAATCATCTTCTAACACACAGAAAACACCACCATATTGAGAAAGCCAAACCCATGGAACTCAATTCACAATCATCCTGGTTAAAAACCTCACTGAAGACCGACCCATGAAATAAATAAGTTTAGATTGAACTTCATTAGCAATGTTGTATTTCTCTCAAGTTTTAGCACCCCTTCTATTCGGTTTGACTCAGTTCATGTGGAGTACCATGTCATACATATAAACTAACAGAAATAATATAGATAATCCATTTCCCTGCCTCGAAACGAAAAATGCTTTAAACTATAAACTTTACAACTAGAATTGGGATCTTCTTCAAATCAAAACTATCAAATTTTGTCTCAGACTTGTTGGCTGATGAAATCAACCTTCCAGATGCTAGGGTTGGAATCAGTTCCTAAATGGGAGAAGCCAAATGACGCCTGCATCGTTCCAACTGACATAACATCCAGCAATATAAGCAAATCGTGACTCTACTACTATACACAGCTGAGGAGGTACCAATCCTTAGCTGATCCTTCATATCTCCACATTTTCAGAGGTTACATGAAGAAGCAAAAGTCCCATTCTTCTAGTCTGATCTACGTCGATCTTTGGGACTGTTGTACAAAGGTAACAGCCAACGAGACCCAAGTTTCCTTCTCCCGTAACATCTCCAGTAAAGCATCAGCATTGACGCTATCACACCGATAGGGATGGCCCATCTGCATGCAGAGTACAATTAAGAGGAAAGTTAAATAAAGAAGAGCATTGCTCATTGGTACAAGCTGCAAGATTAGTATCACTCTAGTCTTTAGGCTCATCTAGAATCAATGCGTTTCATTGACAGGGAAACACGTGGCACACTCATGCAGTTTAATGCATGTAAACAAGTCAAAACACAATTCAAATAGGCTTAAAATTATATTTGGCCCCCAAACTTTCCACTGTTTTTCAATAAAGCCTTCAAATTTTATTGTGTGTCCCGTTGAGCCATCCAACTTTTTGAATTGTTCCAGTGTAGACCTGTCATCCATCTACTTTAGAAATATGGACAGATATAATCAGATGACAAACATAAGACTTGGTACATTGATTAGTTGATAATTTTTCCCTTTCCTAGAACCCATCAAAATAAAATCTCTCTCCCTATCCCTCTCCCTCTCCCTCTTCCGCAAGAACTTTAAAATACATTGAGAGAGACAGAGAGAGAGAGAGAATCAAAAGTGGGATTTTATAGAGATATAGACATTCCGAGAGAGAAATAGTTTAAATTTAAGAAACAGAATTGATTTTTAAAAAAGAGAATTCATTTTATTTTTAAAGAGAGAAGTGAGTTTTTAGAGCGGCAAAGAAAAATGATTTTTAGATGGAGAAAAAAGTTTTAGAGAGAGAGAGAGATAAGATGTGTTTTCTTAAGGAGAATTTCTTTTATTGGATAAGTGGCTTTATTTAAAGAGATATGCACAAATTTACATAATTTGTGCAAAAAATTAAGGGCCAAATAAGGTTTTAATCCTGTAAAATATCATCTGAACACCACTTTCAGGCATATGATACTCATTTAATGAATGAAGAATAAAGTTGTCACCTGTCTAAATCAAGGATGGGGCTGTAAACAAGTCTTTCCCAAGTCAATACAATAAAATGCCAAACCGGGTTGTAGTAAAGAGACTCTGCCGACCAAAACATCCTCGTGTATGTCTCCAAGAAGATAAAAAGTATCCATGCTCCAATTTCAAGCAAAATGAACTTAATGAGGAACCGTCCCACAACCACCATGACAAGGGAGAAGGCTACCAACCAATTAAAAAGCCTGTGGTTATAATCCTTGATAAATACAGATTTGGATTTCCCCAGCATCTGCAAATTCATACAGAGCATGAGACTAATAAAGATGAATACAGTAAAAACGGATGAAATTGGACACTAACTGAAATGAACAAACTCACTCGTTACAAAAAGATTATACAGAATCTTCAGCTTTTTCACCAATTAAAAACAACAGCATCTATACAATCAATTTAAATGGTATCAAAAAGTACCATTGTTTAGCATTCCCATTATCAGTTCTGAAGGAAAAGCATTTACAATGTCTCCTCGAAATCGGATTCATCTTGCAGGAATTCAAAAACAGATAAACCTCACAACCTGACTAGATTTCGTGTGGTGTCCAGGAATACCCACACTAGAGCACCAGAATCCGTGAGGGGTGCATTATATGTGACAAGACAGACAAAACAAATGGAAAAGAAGAATGTCAAAAACATGCCAACCTTCATCATTCGATGCTCATAGCTAGCTTTGGAAGGTCCCATGCACTCCGTTTCAAAACTTTGGTTGCATTGGAGGAACCCTGCATTAAATTTCGCCATGGAAGGAAGTCTGAGGACTTGAAGCTGGTCCATTTTGTCCTCGCATCTAATATACAGTGCCTCACACAATTTTGAAGATTGATACTCATTCGCTAAGATGAAATTTTTATACACCTGAATGGAATTTTCAATAAGCAAAGATATAATCATTCCTACAATTATATTGTTATGACCAACTTATACCTTATTAATTTCTTCATCCAGTCTTTCAACTGATCTTTTTGCATGGTGCCGACCAAAATGTTGCTCATCAAAAACTTTCATCACTTCTTCTCTAGAACCTTTATGAACTTCTTGGAGAGACTGTTCAGATAGTGGTAAAACCAATTTAGCCATCCTCTCACTGTATAATTTCAGACACCGCTCCAGAATACCTTTATTGAAAACCTCCACAAGAGAACCTGTTGAGGGAATCTCTCCTTTATTCAAGGCTTCAAGAATCTGAAATACCAACATTTTTCAGTAAGAGAAGAATGTCTAGGGTAAGGCATACTGCAGAAACTAAAAAATTAGTGACCCACTTTAGCATCTCATTTCGCTTCTTTGGAAGAGAAATCCCAATCTAAAAAATAAGTCAACATTGAGAACTGTATATTTTGACCCTGCTGTTAAAATAGCCATGGCGGCATCAGGTACATGTATACCTATCTTGAGATTGTAACTCAAGCATGACAATCTACAACTTCAGTCAAAATAGATACATCAGTTTATCGGAATAATCCAAGTAAAAACTAAAATTGTTGATTGTCCCTCATGTAGCATAATCATCTAGCTACAAAAATTAGATTATTTTAACAATTCACTTTTTATCCTTTTAAAGAAATGGATGCACTATACTGTGAGTGCTCCCACTTGGACAATCAACAATTGAGATGAACAGCCTAAGAAGCTCATTGACCCCCAAAAGAATCCAGATTATTTGAAACCAGAATACTGGAGCTCCAAAGAACTGCACCTGCTCCAGAAAAGCTACAAATTCCTTTCCATTAAGAGTTTTGCCTTGTACAATCTTTGGACGGATAATAGAGGCAACAAGCTCTTTCAATTGCTCCCTCTTCTTAACATAAATTGGATCAAGCTCAACATCCTTCATATCACAAAGCTTTGTGCGCTGGAGATGAGGCTGTTTAAAAGTTCAGAAGCTATTAGATCATCTGCAGATAATGATTCAAGAGAATGCATTTGCCCAGTCATCGCATAAACCTTAGGTAATTATCAAGCAATGAAAGCGGGAGAAGAAAGAAGTAGAAATGAAGAAAATAAAGCAAACAATACTTGAGGTAAGCTAAAGGCTGTGCTGTTATCACCCATGATAGCCAAAGAATTGCGGATCTGATTAACCTGCTTACATCACACAGAAACATAAAAATAACTTTTAATCCCAAATTCTCATAAACTAAGAAACTATGGAGAGAACAATACCTGATCAATGTTTCTGTCACCTGTGATCAAGATAAATAACCATAATCAACTTTTGTGCTTACTGTAGTATTGTTATGTAGGCACAACTCATTTTGTACACAGATCACAGATGCAAGTTAAAAATAAAGACTAACCTTCGGAATTAGGGACACGTTGAAGAGCTTCATCTACCATTTCTTGCACAGATTTCCCTTCTGTAAAATGCCAACAACAATGATATATAAAACACGATCAAGAAGGCATGGATGCAGTGTAATATGTGATGAGATGAGTATAAGATAAAAAAACATTGTTCATTTTCTGGCAGCGTAGTATTAGCTCAGAGCTATCCTCTTAAGCTAACATTCTTTATAACATGACAATTACGCAAGTTTAACAGTACAAGGTGGCCAATTTGACTTCTTAAATAAATATCTTACGCAGAAAATCACGCTGGATAAGCCATAGGAGCTTAGATGGCTCGAAAGCAACATCTTGACCCTGCAAAAACATATACACGATAATTGCATGGAGCTCAACTGTCATCAGAAACACTTCAACTAAAATTTTGCACCAGGAATGTCAAGGTGGACTCAACATTACCTTTACCCTGATCACCACACACAGATCAAATAAAACCACGAAACAAGTCAGTGAGATGTAAGAACATGGGGTTAATCATAAAAATTGAGGAATGTCATAGAAAAATCTACACGTAATAAATACGCTGATCAATCAACAAGTCAGATACAGACCTTCCATAGAATTCTTCAGCAAGCTCAACTGCAAATGACAATCGAGATATGTCTGCTTCACGGATCTAAACATGTATCAAAACCAACACATTACTGATGCCAAAAAATCATGAGATAATGCAAATTCCAATTATAGATTTTGATGATAATTGGTATACATCCAGGCTTCCCAGCAAATAAAATACTGGCCCACGACTCTAAACATATGAATGTCCCATCAACATATGGGTAAAATGAGAAGCACAAGATCCAAATTTCGTTCCGAAATGGTCAAAATATTTTGTTTCCATGAAAACCAAAACGAATCAATGATCGAAAATCAAAATTTCTATGTTTCAAGTTGTTTCGGAATGTTTCAACTAATGTTTCAAAATCAAATTTTCATATTTTTTTCCTTGTTCCCATTATGTATACAAAAATGTTCTCGAAATATTCCCGAAATGTTTGCATTTCCTAGACCGAAACAATGCATCAAAATAAAACTTTGAACCTTAAAGAAGCAATAGAACATCTTCAAGCAATTGCCCTAAGTTAGTCTAGGGTAATTAATGATCTCTTGCTTACAATTCTAATTAGGATGCTGTCAAAATTGAGAGTAAATAATGATCTCTTGCTTACAAATCTAATTAGGATGTTGTCTAAATTGAAATATCAAAGATATATAACAACAGATACATGATGTGATTCATGCAAAGGGGATGCATTTGTGGGCAGTGTTTATTGTCAACAAGTTTGTTCCTAAACTTGGTCTGAGCCAACATTTACATGCAAGCTTGATATTGAGATTGCCTATAAACATGCCCAGTAGGGATTCCTGCTTTACCATTTGCATGGGATGGGCCTAGAGGAGGCAATGGATGGAGATGTGCATATCTAAGTCCAGTTTTCCATCCTAATTGCTCGGCCACAAAATGGATTTTTTGGAAGTTCCCAAGGCTTAAAGCAAAAAAAAGGGGGGGTAGAGAGAGAGAGAGAGAGAGAATTCTTTTCATTTACTAGATTTTAAGTTTGCCCAAAATCCATAATTTGACACTTTAACATATGCTCTTATGGTTTCTCCAGTTTCAGAGATTTGTTAAGTATGGTAAATCCCAAATTGTTATTGCAGCTTCAAATCATGACACCACAAAGTAACCATATAATCAACAAATAGAAGGGTGGAGAGAGAGATAGAGAGTAACAAACTGTCTCAGGCAAGTTATAGATGAGCACAGAACTCAAAACTGTTGCCAGAGCAAAAATCCTGCAATAACAGGGTCAGAAAGGAGGATTCATGAGAATTTACACGTTTACAACACATTAAATCCAATTAAATCCATTTTGTGACTTCAAGATTACCTGTCATCATATACACTTGACTTTCCAATGCTTTCAAATCCCTCCGTATCAAGATAAAGTACAGATGTTTTCACTCCACTAATATCCAATTCTAGTGGAGTTCCCCATATCCATATTCCTACAAAAAGATGAAACAGAAAGTCTTTAGAAATATTTGAATAGACCCCAAAATCTTTGTCATATCCCTAAAAAATCCTTCATCTACCTTTTGTTTTAGTGTCACGCATATGCCCAACACCAAAACCTGCAATAAGTCAAACTTTCAAAGCTAAAAAATAGTCGAAACAAGTTAAACTACACAATAATGATAACGTGTCCAATTCAATGTAAAACTAACAGTGGTGGATGTTACACCTTCATTACAAGAAAGGGAGAGAAGTTGATTAAGTAGAAAAGATTTTCCCGAGCGATATGGACCAATTACCTGCCAATATACCATAAAAACAGAGTAAAAAAAGGAAGGCCACTGAAGAGGTTAGTTGAGGTTAACAAAATCAAACTTCTTCGATGAAAGCAGAAGCTCTCCTCCAAGTACTTGACATGCAAAACAGTTACATTCTTATATAAATAAACTAGAGGATCAATTTTGTTATCCAATGCCAGTCAAACTTTGAGTACATACTAAAAATCTTCAAGTGGCAAAGAAATTGAAAGTAGTAAAGGATAAGGGATGTAAATTCAAGCTTACAGCAACAGGTGCAATAGGTGTCTTTATTCTCTCAATTGCCTCCAATCCTGCCCTTGCAAGGCGAAGTTTTGTGTGACCATGATCAGGTTCTACAATAGGAAACCTGTACGAGGAAAAGGAATGGTAAACAAGAAAATAAATGATGGCAAAGCTATAAATCTCCACGGTGAGAGTTGGGGAGCATTAAAGCATAATATGGTTCCAGTACCACAAGGAAATAGGCTCCAGCAAACAACAGCTAATACAACATGTGAACATTGGGTAGAAAGAAAATAATTAACGTATAACTAATATGCACATCATATGAAGTGATAATTAATAAGATACCAATAGCAGAAAGTTCAAAATAATGATAGGTGATATAGCCATGGTTAGAAGCCATTTCTGTAGGCCTAGAAGCCACCCACCCTCCATCCCCAGCCCGCCCAACTAGTAGAAAAACGAAGACAATTGGCATAGAAACATAGCCTTTTGGCAGGTGAATGCAAGCTGAATCACTACGTGTGGAAGATATCAAATCCTTTGATAATATAAATATTTAATTCATTTAAACTATTTATCTTGGTTTTTTTTCCTTACCCTAGGGTCAAGCGAAGGACATATAGATTAAATACAATGGATATAAGGCAAAAAAGGAAGAAAGATAAACTATTGCATTGCAGATAGGATTAACCCAATGTAGGTCAAATTTTTTGGAAAAGAACAATCAATGCCAGATACAAGATCATGACTATTGATCACTTGTCAAGTTAAGACTCAACATCCAATCAATGAACTTAGGAAGAACATCCTGAATGGTCAACAGACTTTTCTAAGCATATAGCTCTGTAGTGGAGAATAGGAAAAGTATTTCTAAACCAGCCTATAGTGGTGAGGACCCTATAGTTGTAACTTCTTTGGATCAGCCAATAGTTGGGGCAGAAAGGATGTGTCAGTTTTGCAAAATGGTATCGAGAGTTGGAACCAGCTTCTTCGGTATGTTCTACAGGTCGTTGACTGACAGTGTGTGGGACTAAGTACTCTAGTCTACCTACCCTGATGGTTCTCCCACTTTCAAATCGCCAATTAGCACTTATACACTGATAGTCAGCCAAATTTGCAAATCCTTTACAGGAAATATTTCTTAACGTAGATTATCAAAACTGATAGCATCCTTTGTCTAGGTGCACACCATAAAAAACCATTCAAATTGCAGAAGTTAAACAACAACAAAAAAGCGTGATTGATCTTTTCCTCTGTGTTATTTATAACATCAATATGTCATCAAACTTCAGACAAACACAATTTCAAAACGTTCCTCCAATCTTTAAAAGAAAAATAAACTTAAACGCAACTCATTAGAGCATCCCTATAACCAATATGCAAAACACAGCAAATTACAAACTTCAAAAAGAAACCTAAATAATTCTACATTCCAAGATAATAAAAAATAACAAATAAATAATTCAGAATGCATCACCAAGACGACCTCAAATACAATGAGCCCATTGCAAAAATATCATTCAACGGAACAACTCAAGAGACTTTAGGCATGAAAAACTACATAACAAAAGTCTTACGCTTGATGAAAATCATCGAAGGAGAAACACCCAGATGCCAATAAGCAAAGAAAGATCGAAAAGACTGCGAACCAACATGAAATCTTCATCATTGATCTATGGACAAGAAGTTATCTTGCAAATGTAATATAGTTATAGGCAGGCATAAGAAAGGGTACGGACAGAGAGGCCATGGGAGGGCAATAAAGAAGAGAAGTTTGAAGACATTGGAGAAAAAAAGAAAAAAGAAAAAAGAGAGAGAAAAGAGTGGGATCTCAAGAAGCCATGGCCGACGGTGCAGATTAAGAATCGTAAAACCCACTTTTTGGGGGTAATGAGTTTTCTTGACTTTGGATTTGAGAAAAAGAAAACCCAGTGGATGGTTTTTGCGGTGAGAAGTATGGGATTCGTGCCCTCTGGGGAAAGAATGTGAAATTGTTAATCAATCTGGCGGTTTATTGGGGGGAGAGACAGAGAGAGAGTGCTCAGAATGCGGGGGGTAAAGGGTAGGGTTAATCCCATTTTGCACCCTAAAAGATTGTTCAAATTTTAATTTACACCCCTAAGATCAAAAATTTTAATTTATACCCTCAAAGATAGAAATTTGTATCAATGTGCATCTCCAAAGATAAAAAATCTCAATTTGCACCCTTAAAGATAGAAATTTGTATCAATGTGCACCTAAAATTAAATTGATAAATTATACCTAGATCCCCTCATGTTTGTCACTTAATCATTTGAACTCCTTCACATTTAGAATATTCCTCTTACATGTCATGANAATTTGCACCCTCAAAGATAGAAATTTGTATCAATGTGCACCTAAAATTAAATTGATAAATTATACCTAGATCCCCTCATGTTTGTCACTTAATCATTTGAACTCCTTCACATTTAGAATATTCCCCTTACATCTCATGACGTTTGTGCATGTGTAACACATAACCACTTTTCGTTGATATCTGTTAATATAATCATTAAAAAATATGATTTTATCCTAATAAAAAATTATAATTTCATATTACCTTTTATTTTGTGAATTCAATATACTCTAAAGTTAAAAATCAAATTTACCATTTGAATGTCTAATAAAATGTAGATATTTATATAAAAGGTAATATGAAAAACATTATATAAATATTTACATTTTATTAGACATTCAAATGGTAAACTAGATTTTGAACTTTAGAATATATTAAACCCATAAAATAAAGGGTAATATGAAATTATAATTTTTTATTATGATAAAATTATATTTTTTTAACGGTTATATTAATAGATATCAATGAAAATGGGTTACGTGTTATATGTGCACAAATGTCATAAGATGTAGGAGTAATATTCTAAATGTGAAGAGGTCTAAATGATTAAGTGACAAGTATGAGAGGATTTAGGTATAATTTATCAATTTAGTTTTTAGGTGCACATTGATGCAAATTTCTATCTTTGAGGGTGTAAATTGAGATTTTTTATATTTGGGGTGCACATTGATATAAATTTTTATCTTTGAGGGTGTAAATTGAGATTTTTGATCTTTGGGGGTGCACATTGATATAAATTTCTATCTTTGAAGGTGTAAATTGAGATTTTTAATCTTTGAGGGTATAAATTAAAATTTAAACAATTTTTCAGGATACAAAATGAGATTAACCCTAAAGGGTATTATGATCTTGTGGCGAGGCTACATCATGAAATGGCCCTTTTGTAAGGCCCAACTGGGCCAGTAGTTGGGTTGGTTGTGGAGCTTTTTGTGGTCGAGACTATAGAAAATAAATGGGCTTCTGGTACAATCTTACTGGGCCAATGTTTGTGTCGGCTTTTGTGGGCCATCCATTGTGGTGCTCGGACGCTTGCCAAGCTTATCACCCTATAGCCACTGAGAAGCCATGCTATTTAGGGGTCTCATAATTGACCCGAACTAATTAAGTTTAGCTCGGATTCAACTCATATTTTAAATGAGTTAAGTTTAAATAATTTTTAATGCTTATTTAAAAAAACAAGTCTAAAAAATTTGACTCGTTTATGTATAAAATAATTGAATTATTCAGACTCGGCTCGTTTTAGGCTTCGCTTGGGCTTGGCTCATTTTCTAAAATAGCCAAGTTTGATAATTTTTTTAGGCTCATTTAAAAAAACGAGTTCAATAGGCTCGACTCGATTATCAGTCCTAATCCCAACATAATTCGAATGGTTTATTTTGAACGCGTGTAAAACGTTTTGTATAGACGAATTATTTCCTTCTCCAAAATAAGGAATTTTTTTTTTATGTTAACATATAATTTAAGAACAATGTTATAAAATTCAAATTAAACCCAAAAAATTACAACACAAATGCATATCATTCCTTGAATGAATGGGTCCAATCAACTTTNGTTATATGTGCACAAATGTCATAAGATGTAGGAGTAATATTCTAAATGTGAAGAGGTCTAAATGATTAAGTGACAAGTATGAGAGGATTTAGGTATAATTTATCAATTTAGTTTTTAGGTGCACATTGATGCAAATTTCTATCTTTGAGGGTGTAAATTGAGATTTTTTATATTTGGGGTGCACATTGATATAAATTTTTATCTTTGAGGGTGTAAATTGAGATTTTTGATCTTTGGGGGTGCACATTGATATAAATTTCTATCTTTGAAGGTGTAAATTGAGATTTTTAATCTTTGAGGGTATAAATTAAAATTTAAACAATTTTTCAGGATACAAAATGAGATTAACCCTAAAGGGTATTATGATCTTGTGGCGAGGCTACATCATGAAATGGCCCTTTTGTAAGGCCCAACTGGGCCAGTAGTTGGGTTGGTTGTGGAGCTTTTTGTGGTCGAGACTATAGAAAATAAATGGGCTTCTGGTACAATCTTACTGGGCCAATGTTTGTGTCGGCTTTTGTGGGCCATCCATTGTGGTGCTCGGACGCTTGCCAAGCTTATCACCCTATAGCCACTGAGAAGCCATGCTATTTAGGGGTCTCATAATTGACCCGAACTAATTAAGTTTAGCTCGGATTCAACTCATATTTTAAATGAGTTAAGTTTAAATAATTTTTAATGCTTATTTAAAAAAACAAGTCTAAAAAATTTGACTCGTTTATGTATAAAATAATTGAATTATTCAGACTCGGCTCGTTTTAGGCTTCGCTTGGGCTTGGCTCATTTTCTAAAATAGCCAAGTTTGATAATTTTTTTAGGCTCATTTAAAAAAACGAGTTCAATAGGCTCGACTCGATTATCAGTCCTAATCCCAACATAATTCGAATGGTTTATTTTGAACGCGTGTAAAACGTTTTGTATAGACGAATTATTTCCTTCTCCAAAATAAGGAATTTTTTTTTA